AATTACTTTAATTACAAAAAAGAAAAAAAAAAAGGAAAAATTGCACTAGTTGGCCAAAAGCAATTAAGGGGACTTTAATCTCCTTAGCAATTATGCTGTGGGGCATCCTTAACTCAGTCATTTCTGCCCGCTACATTTCTAGAAAGGTCAGTGGAAATTGCTTTGTGTTATTAGAACAAAGACTTGGCAATGAAGCTCACGTGGTCCTCTTGACGATTTGTTTCGTCGCCATCCTTCGAGCCGCCTCCCCGGCCATCTGTATACATCTCTCAATCCTTCCTCTCGGAGCCTTTTGAATCTACAGTTCCCCTCGCAAGTGTTGATTAGTGCGAAAGAGAAGTTATCGCGGAGTTGTCGGGGAATGGGAGGGAGGAGGGGAGAGAGGAGGAAGGAAGGAAAGAAAATCTCGGCATGCTAAGACTCTCGCGCTGTATTAAAAGCATTAGCAGTGTCCCTTGGTGATTTGACAACAATGTAAAAACAACACAATCATCATTAGACGGGCTTCGACTCGCGCGAGTGTACGAGTGTCGCCTGTTGCTGTGCTGCTGCTGCTGCTGCTGCGTGCGTCTACCCAAGCAGCTCGGCGTGACTTTTGTTTAATCTACTGTTTCTACACGAAGCCATTCCTTACTGTGCGATGGCATTAAACATCAGACGTAATTTCTGTTTGTTCTCTTCTCCACGTCCTTGCTTCTATTTCCATCCCTCCCTCTTCTCTCTCTCTCTCCTGCTTCAATCCGTCCATCCGTCCCCCCCATCTGGCTGAGGTGAGGAGTGGTAGGCCGACGAGAGGAGAGTGGAGTCGAGCGAGGGTTGGAGCGACAGCTGGAGCCCAGTCAGACAAGGAGAGACAAATTACCCCTCTAACGAGAGCCATTCATCATCTCTTCATCTCTCCCTTCTTTCATCCCTCTCTTCCTCTCACACCTCTACATGAAACACAGCGCACCTGGATGGCAACTCTGGATTTTTATTTGGGTGGGGGGGGCGGCAAAACGGAAAAAAAACAACACGGATCCAACCGCGCAACTTGGGTCTCGTTTCGTCGCCACTCGTGTGGCGCCGAGTAAATCCGCACGTGCTTCTATAAAGAAAGTAACGGGGGTAAACAACGAGGCGAGGGGCGATGCGGAATGATTGAATGAGCGGCGCGCGGTGCAAAAGGGAGGAAAAAGAAGCGACACACCCATGCTGGCACATGCAGAGACTCATTACCATGGCTGCTGTCAGCACAGATGTTGGACTGAGGGGGAGCTGTCAGTCAGTGTGTGTGTGTCTAACTATACATGTGTGTGTGTGTGTGCATGTGTGATAGTGCCTGACAGTGATCTGAGGGCTATTTAGACAGCTGCTGACACAATGAGCCCTTTTCTCTATTTATCTATACAGTGCAGTCTGTCTCCTCCATCTCATCTCTCTTCCTGTTCCTCCCTCCCCCCCTGCCTTTTTCTCAAGTCCTCGCCTCCTCTTTCCTCTTATTCATTGCTTTTTAATATTTCACATTTTAGTTCGACTGTGGCAAGACGCACACCTGTTGTTGCCTTGTATGTGTGAGCAACAAATGGATGTCGCAGCCTATCCAGGAACTGGTCTGCAGCTCCTTCTGCTTTATTCCGCAAATGTGTTCTCCCACAGCCTCCACCTCCCCGCTTCTTCTTCTTTTTTTTTTCCTTTCCTTTTGTAATCAGCGCCATCGCGGAAAATGAGTGATAAAATGAGTAAAGAGGGAAGGGTGAGATGAGAAGATGATTCAACAGACGTGTTTTAATTAATAAAGTTGGGCTTTCATAGCCTAAAGAGACGATTGTATCGCTGGCTCTTTCTTTGATGTGTAACAGAGTGTCTGGGTTCTTCTCTGGCCTAGAGCTCTCCTCTGCTCGCGCTCAGTTCCTCTCTTTCATCTCGCCTGCATCACTTCATCGCTTCACAACTAACGGGGCCCTTCTTCCCGAAAGAAGGCAGATCCTCCAAACACACACACACACACACACACACACACACACAAACAGCCGGGAGCTGCGACTGAAGATGCCTTCCAGTTGGGAGAAAAGGTGCTATCCAGATTTGCTGCTTCACACTGTTCTGTTCTACATTGCAGCATTTCTCGATTTCAGCTTTTTAAATTCCTTTCTGAATAATAACCGAGGCTCATCGTTTTTGAACAGATTTCCGCTGAAAAAAAAAAAATGCTGAAATTTACACCCGATTTTCACCTAAATGTCTGTTGTGTTTGTTTCTCCGCGCCCAGAAGTTGTACTTCCTGATGCACTGTAGCCCACATGTTCTATTAATCTGAGCTGACATTTAACTGAATGTTGCTTAACAATATTAATTAGATATAAGTGGATTTAATTGAGTCGAATTTGCATTGAACAGCTGTCAATTTTAGCTCTTTATCCATTCATTTTAAGCCTCTCTGCTAATTGAGCAGCTAGTTTTCATTCTCTCTCCACGACACGTATTGTCCAGGTATCTAAATATGTACCACGTTATTTAGTTTTTCTTCTTTGGAAAGTGCTTCCTGACTGGGATTCACAGGTTTACAGTACATTATGTCCTCGTTCCTCTTGTAAACAGCTTAGAATATGCTTTGTGTTACAAAAAGTTAAGACGAAAAAAAAGAAGAAAATTTTTAAACCTTTAATCCTCAAGTGATTTCTGTTTTTTTTTTCTTGCCACATTTTTATTTTCTGTGGACTAATTTTTTTTACTGCATTATAAAGTCCTGCACCTCTACGGAAACAGCACAGTCATGGCAACAAGTAGAGAGAATTAAAAAAATGCATTTTGTTCTGTGTGACGGCAGTTATAATGCAGTGAATCATAAAACAGAATAACGAGAGCTGAATTCTCTTTATTTTACAAATTTTGAAAAAAAAGGATGCACAACATTTTTCCAGGTGCACACAGGTGTTACTGTTATTAAACAGAACTGATGGCTGCACAAGCAATGTGTGTTTAACTATTTATGTATTCACAATTTGTACAAATACTAATACTACGAGGCACATCCACTCGAGAACGATTCTCTCCACGTGGGATATATCTTCCTCTGTGCACCATGTTCTGAACCGTCTGCATTTGTTTTATTGATCAAGTTTGTTTTATTTTACTCTGAATATCTCTCATTTGTTTCCACACCTGTCTTTTCTTTGGAACACATCCTGCAGTTCAAGATAAAGTTCCTCCGAGCCATCCACGTCTGCCCAGTCACACCAAGCAGAGTCTTATAAGTACAAATCATCTATTTTTTTTATTTTTAATGAGAATGAAGTAAAGCAAATGACAAAAAAAGTAGTTTTTTGATGAAATGCCATGATTTTAAGCTTATATTTTGATAATTCACCCATCAGAAGCGCAAATCACACATGATTAGTTCAAAATCCTTCAATTCTTTTTGTTTTAAACTGACTTGATTCTGGTAAATGGTGTAATTTTGGCACTTTTTAAAGAAGATAATATGCCTTTCAAACCTGTCAGTGGGTTTGGGGAGTTCACAGTATTAACACAATAATTGCTCATTTTAAAATCCAATATTTATCCTAAATTTGCATAATTGACTTTTAAAAAATCTGATTGATTTTCATCACCACTTCTTTAAATCAAAGCTTGTAATAATGAGTTCTCTTTGGGGGAAAAAAAAAAGAAAAAAGACGACTTATCAAAGTGTCAAACTTGGAAAATTACAATCAGCTCATCGGGATGTGCACAAGAAGAACGATCTGAATTCTCTGAAAAGGAAAAAAAAAGAAGAGATATGAAAGTATAAGAATAAGAATGCAGAGCAGAGAGATGAAAAGATAAAGACAGCAAACCTCTAAAGAGCTTCACCTCGTTCGCCACCTTTTCAATCACAAATCAAACCCTACCTCTGTGAAAAATGGCTCCGAGGTCATTCTGCGCTAATAGGTTCGGATGATTAGCGACCTCTTAACAATATCCTTTGGCCTTCACATAACGTGAAGTGCATGGGAGTAATGGAGAATAATTACTAACTAATATTAACCAAAGTTTGAAGCGGAAGGATGGAAAGAGGATGAAAGGATGAAAACCAGATGAACTGAATGAAGGTGCAGAACGTCTGATCGACTCCAGTGACATAACAGACCTTTAAAACTCTTTGAAGGTCGTGATGTGTCCCGAGACCTGATGTAACGTAGTGTCGACTGATTGCAATAAACTCATATATTAACTCAAGAGCGGCCTGTATTGACACTTGGACACTGTAAACACACAGTTACAATGCACAACTGAAGATATATAATGCAACAAAACCGAACTGAGGCTGAAAAGGTGCAGGCCAAAGTCAAGGCGCCACACAAAATGTTCCCTTATTTGAATTTGCACAAGCCACGCAGCCCAGACAATAACCCAACAAATTATGCATGCCCATATATAGCGCGTACGCACGGACACGCATTTACATTCACACAGTCGCATAGCGAGCCACAGGGCGCCGCAGCGAAAGAAACCCTCGGCATGAAGACAGAACATTTCTCAGCAATTCCAACATCTGGTTCAGGAGGTCGTTTCTCACTGCTGTCTTCACTCGAGAGGGAGGTTTTTCTTTTTTTTTTTTCTTTTTTCTTATTTTGAGAGGAGGAGAGATGAGGACAGACTTAACCTGACACGGAGCAATACACTCAACCTTTGCCCTCCTGAGGCAAGAATGCAGTCCAGGATCTATCTGCATTTGCTAATTGAAACATGCCTCGCTGGTATGTGCAGCTATGTGTGTGTGTGTGTGTGTGTGTGTGTGTGTTGGTGGCTATACATAGCATTAGGATGCTACAGCACACTCATGCTGTCCACTGTCAGAGATGTCCACTGTGTAACTTGGGGCAACCAAGGAGGCTGCATTACCATATAAATTACATCCATGTTGTTGCTGCTGCTGCGGATTGATGGTTTTGTTATGGATTCTACGCATCGGACCCTCATTGAAAACAATCAAAATAAATAGCCTCCTCCTCCCACATAAATGCAAACACACGCACGGACGCATGAGCAAGCACACTGGGCTACAGGTGAAGGCACGAAAACCCGCACGGACCGGTGCAGAGATAGACAACTGTCCTCTCAGCCTCCCATTACCTCTGAACATGCTCTGTAATGACTGAAAGGTGCAGATCAGCAGCGGAGGAAACAGAAATCTTTCTGTGTTGGTGTGTACGCGTGAGAAATTTGCAAAACCCGCAACAATGAATCTGCTTTTTTTGCTGCTGCAGTGTTCGCCAGGCAGCCCGAAGCTTATTAATGATTCAATCCGACATAAATAATATAGATCTGAAACACAAAACATTCCAACATGGGTAGATAATAAGAGCAGCTAACGAAAAACATGAAAATATAATGCTTTTTTTTTAACCACTCTATATGTTGGAGCTTTAAAAAAAAAACTCCTGGTTTGCCGCTCATAGTATAAAATGCACTGATAGCAACTTTTCAATAAAGGAAAAGCACTAAATCCAAGCTTTTCACATAGTTGGAAATAGATTTTATGACCTCAGCAAGACTGCGTCCATATTTTCTCACTTGAGAGGAGGGTTGAGAGTGACATATGGACAAACTCTTTGATTACTGGAGATAGCGCTGGGTCTTGGCACTTAGTGAAGACACTAACAAAACAACAGAAACCTGCCTGCAGCTTTGGACAGACCTTCTAAGATTTATATTGTATCTGGAAGACCAATATCTGTGTGTTTGTTATTTGTACTGGAGAAAAGCTTTTAGATGCTGCAGCACAGAAATCAGCAGGGTGAAAACCTGGGCACTGAGTTTTTTTTTTTTCCCCTCCAATCTGCCACGCTCGCGAAAAGTTTAGCGACATGAGAAAAACGGTGGAATTGTGTGGTCACGACTCAGGGGAAAAGTTAAAGTTAAAGATGTTCACCTGCTTGCCATGTTAAAAAAAAAAAAAAGTCAAGTTCTGGTTAATTTGAGTAAAAAACCAGCTTCGATTAAAGCTGCAATTAATGTAGAAGATCAATGTGAGGCCGATGGAGTGTTCTGATAAATGTGGAAAGAAAGAGCCTAGAATAACTGTTTCATTCACTGTTCCTCACATCTTCACCACTAATTAGAACTTAAAAACGAGTCTTCGAAGCCTAAATTAAATGTTTACACCGACGCAGGACACCCTAAATTTCCACGCGGCTATTGTATCCACGTCTCCAGCGCACCATCCTTCTGTTTTTGGATAGAGCAACGTCTTTATGTTCATTTTGGAAAGATCGCAACTCATGAAATTTTGAGAGACGAGGGGCCCCTCCGCGCAATAAACAAAACTACAATCTGAAAACACCACAGTCAAGAAAAAATCAAATGCATTCAGAAATTGCTCATGAAAGGAGGCACGAGGAAAGCACACAGAGTACAGAGACACACATTTGCTAGCGTGCTGTAGATGCGCGCGCTTTCATATTCACACATGCACAGGTGCTTACACAAATACCTATTCAACAGCGCAGGGCTCCGGAGAACCGTCCGCCGATTGCTGCAGTTGCTATGACAATGTAGTTCCACAACAAGCACAAAAAGGACTGAAAACAGCTGAAAAACAACGAGAAGAAATTAAAGAAAGGAGGAGGGGGGGAAATAAAATTGAAAAAAAAAAAGGAACCACGGGAGATCTGTGTTTGTTTGGCGCATGAGATCTGCCAGTTGGTGACCTTGTGCAGATGGAGATAGCGTGTTGTATTGAAATGTCATGAATAAACTCAATTTCAATGAAATCGTTTCTGTTTTTTTTTCCTTCTTTCCCTCCTCGTGTAATGTTACATTATGTGTGTGAGACAGTGAGGCGGCGAGGCTGAGTCAGCACCGTCTCCTTTGACAATATGCAAACACATGCATGCACACGCGCATCCGGAGAGTCCCTGGTATCCTCCACGTTGGGATTAGCCAAAAAAAGTGGGGTGATGTATTTTAGAGCCAGTGGATAATGACTGTTCTGTGGCCTGTTGCTGAGAAAAAAAACCTCTCCTGTCTTTGATGTTCTGTTGTCGCTATTTATAGTATCAGCAAGAAAAAAAAAAAAAAGAGAGAAAAGAACTGAGAGCTGGAAAACAGTAAGCCACATTATGTTCTCTCTAACTAGCTTTCTGTTGAGCATTGTTCTCAAGGTGAACAGGATGGAGTCTCCTCATTTCGAGGGGGGAAAAATTTATACCTTCTGCACCTCGGTTCAGATGCTTTCTGCACCTTGGCGCCGCGTGTCCTATTCAGGCGCGGGTTTGCCGGCGTCTTTGCTTTTTTGGCACGAGTGTTTTGGAAATAATAGGAAGAGGCACAATAGAATCTGACTGATTCCACATGATTTCACAAAGGTGCTTTCAATTTGGGAGGGCCATTGTCACGGGGATAATTCTCTCCTTTTAACAAAGGGAAGAAAACTTAATCAACCTGTATTATATACTTCAGGGAAAACAGGCAAACCACGGAGAATTGTAAAGGGTGTCGTCGCTGTTTCTTTTTGTTGTTTACGGAGGAAAAAGAAAAATCGCCAACAATAAATGGCCACAACATTGGGCGCCTTTGATGGAACCAAAACCGACGCGGCCGTTAAAACATGAGCTCGGGAGAATTTTTCGCTCGCTTTTGTTGACGCAAGCTCGTATTAGGCAATCTGTCTTTTGTGCAACTTTTAGCTATTTTCCTTCCAAAGCAGATTTAATCACTTCAACTATTTCACCTTTACATACATTTCTTAAATAGGTTATTATTACAATTTTATCATAATAGACATCCAATTTATTTTCGCAGTTAGAGTTTAATTGTGGCGCTCAGTTAATGGAATTGACATTTTGGAACATTACAATTTTTTTTTTTCTCTCTCTCTCTCTTTTTTTTTTTTTTTGGATATCAGACAAATCTTTTTGGCAGAACTGCCCCTTTTGAGCTCTTCTTCACTCGCAGAATGTGCTTCGGAGGTGAGCCTAATCACTGATTGCATTATTAGCTGCTGCCTTAGTAAATCAGATGTTAATTACATGCAGATTGCGAGCTCAAACAGAATGAACGGCGCAGCACAAAGTTGCGCCGCACTGCCATGGATGTAACATAAATCTGTCCCAGCGGCTTCTGGCCTCCCTCCTGAAAGTGTTGGGCTGTTTGAAGTAGCTGCAGCTTTGGATCCATCCATCCATCCATCCATCCATCCATCCATCCATCCATCCATCCATCCATTGATCTATCTATCTATCTATCTATCTATCTATCTATCTATCTATCTATCTATCTATCTATCTATCTATCTATCTATCTATCTATCTATCTATCCATTCATCCATCCATCCATCCATCCATCCACCTATCTATCTGCAAGGACATGCAGTCGTCATACAGCATTACAATTAGCACAGCTTGCATCAGCTGACATCAGCTGACTCAGAGGGATATGGAAGTCCCCATGCTAATGGACTTCACATGCAGTTGTGCATCTCGGTGTACGTCTAAGTGTGTATTTCGGAGCGCTTGTTTGTGGTCCCATTTTGCACAAACACTCTCTTGCAAACGTGATGCAACTCCCCAAGGCACAACCTGCAAAACCCTTTCAGCTCATAAACAGTTGTGCCCAGCCAAGCAGAGGCAAAAGCCTTTACTAGGCATCGGAGGAAATAGGCAGCCCAGTCAAATGTTCACCGTTCGACTATTAGTCTCACCCCTCACTATGAACTACAGACCTCGGAGACAAATAATAAATGCTAATCTTTGTAGGACGAAGCCAAGTCAGTCAGTTTAAGCTGAGAGCGTTGAATGAGATTTTTAATTACTGCATGACCTGGGGTATATTAGCGCATATTAATGAGGATCATTAACCTAGAGGTAACTAAGACCCCTCCTCCTTAACTACAACTGATAGCACCTCTGCTGTCTGATGCTAAGCTGTCAGCGTGCGCACATGTGTGTGTGCACGTATGTGTGCGTTTTTGCGAAATATCTCACAGATGGCTTATTCCACCCTTTGTAATAAACCGCATGTCCTTGGTAAAAAGTAAATAACTGAAGTCAAGTCTTTTACAGTTGAGGAATTATTCAGCTGAAAGTATGAACTCTAGGCTAAAAAAACCCAAAAACACTATCGAATACAGAACCTTGGCTTGTAACTTTAATGTTTTTGTGCCCATTTGCTGCAGATGAAGGATGGCAGGGGCAGGCACTGTAGAATTTTTCATCTGTCTTTTATGCAGCCTCAGACAAAAAAAAAATAATTTTCAATGGGCAGCAAGCAGGTACAGCGCAGAATAAAATGACAGACGAGGAAAGAGAAAGAACAATTTCAATTGACATATGCAAAGGTCAAGGTAATTTCAATGGATAAAGAAGAAGACAAACAGGGGAGGGGGGGAGAAAAAAGAGAAAGTTTCTGCACATCTCTCTTGAACTACAAGAGGTTGAGGAGGAACAGCGGAGGTCTAATTTTGCACCCCCTGCAGTGTAAATGTCAGCGACGATGCTGACGTCATCCACCCATTGTCTCTGAAACCCCACCCCGCCACTTTTCTCCAACCACATGTGCCGGCTTCAGCCTTGTAGTGCCATTACACTGCAGTCTCAGCGGTACAGAGGCAGACGCTTTTATCTCAGAAGAGGGCAGACCGGCCGTATTTGGCTTGTAACATTTGCTGAGCACACACGCGCACACATATTCACAAAGTCATTCATGCACAGATGCCTGTGCAAAGATACACTAATGTACACACACACA